AAGTGTACACAAGGGTCGACACAACATGAGGGAAGTGTACACAAGGGTCGACACAACATGAGGGAAGTGTACACAAGGGTCGACACAACATGAGGGAAGTGTACACAAGGGTCGACACAACATGAGGGAAGTGTACACAAGGATCGCGACATTAAATAGGTTGAGAGTCACTGTTCTATGAGCTCCCTGCCCAAAGAAGCATTAGCGAAGACTGTGGGTCCCTATCCGTCTTTCGTTTGTTTTATCCCTCAAAATTGTGTGCACGGAGAAGTGGCTAGAGAAAGAGAGACTTCCATGAGAGTCATAGCTGGAGCTCCGTTCTGTAAACCACCTGCTGAGTGATGATGTTACGAGATTTAAATCTCATACACTCAAAACAACGAAGTCGTGTTAGAAACAGAATTGTCACATGCTATAAAGAGCGAGATTCAACATCTGGTTTTGAATCCTGGACAAAATGAACAAGACAATTTCATGAGGTCTCAGAGATGTGGCTTTAGGAAGAATGTTTACTATTCCTTGGGCAGCCAAAATGAGAATTTTTTTTAGAAGCGCAAGCCCGAAGACATCGTATTACAAAAGGAGACGTTCGTCATTTTTTTTTAAAAAGGGGGAAACGTCATAGCATAGAGGATATCATAACGTAAACTGATACTTGCTGGTGGGGGTCGATGGTTGTGGAGAGGCAGGATCGCCCGTGTCATTGGGTAAAGCACTAGATGACAAAAATACTTGAACTAGTAACGAACGTACGCCCAGCTCCGCCCAGCTACACCCTAGCTGACCTGTCATTAATGATTGGCCAAGCTGGTCTACGTTAGAGAGTGGTGAATGCACTCTCGTTGGACCTAAGATCAGTGTGTGTGATAGGGGAGTTGGGGTTGGGGTCAGTTGTACATGTCATGGGGTCGTTAAAACCGCTCACATCCTGTAATACAGAGCTCGCGTGGTCGCCGGTAAGACCGTCAAGACAATACAAGGACGCACCAACCTGACATCCATGCCGTTTAGACTCACGAGTCTCAAAGGGTAACATGCATGAATGAACGTCCAATCACAGTGTCCTGACTTCGTCACTCATAAGTGTGTAGCTGGGCCTGAGTTCGTTACATGCTCAAATATAAGAAATGAAGGGTTATTTATATAAACGTCTCCCCATTTACACACCACCGGTTGTAGGTCAGCTCCACTGATACGTTGGTTGCACTAGTCTACCGTGGTCGAGGTTATGGGTGTCGCATTCTGTTGTTGTCTTGCATTTACGTTTTTATTTCCGAAAAAGAGACGGCCGGTGACATAGAATTAGTCACTCTCTAGAGGGCTGTGTGTTAGACCCAGTATCTAAATGTTATAGAAGCGTTAAAAGATCTGGCGTGGTGAAATATGCAACACGCGGTATCAGCACGAGAGCAGAATATCCCCGTGATCTGGTGTGAAAGTCGAATCGTTCGAGGCCGACCTATCAGAAGTTAGGTGGGTTGTAGTTCGTCCAATCAGTAGCGAGCTTGTGTGTAGCGGTGTGTAAGTGGGGAGACCAGCGTAAAATTTACCAAATGAAATTAAGCGGTAACCAAATCGTGATTCAGCAAATTAGACACGGGCTAGCTAGGGTTATGCCTCGGTTGGTAAGGTTTTCCCCATAGTATATCACTGTAAACATCTCCACTCAAGGCCGAGAATGTGGGAGCCAGGCTTAGACGGAGGGAGAATGACACAGTAATTTTGTGATACAGTGGCAAGAGTGAAATACAACCATTGCTGTTCTTATCAGCCCAGGCTATCTAAGTCACGTCGATTGGAAAGCAGACTAGCGGTTTTACAACAGTTGAAGTAAACTACACACGGCGCATTTGCTGGCGCTTGACTTCATTCACGTCTACAGTAAAACACTGAAAAGGCTCACCGTTTCAATAACAAAATGTCGTTTTTGTGACGTGCCATAAGCAGTTAAATCTAAACCAGAGAGCAGAGAGGTTTAGTATAGCAAGAGTTGCCAGTCACATCGTGTCTGTACATTCATAACGTGACCTGTGGTTACCTTCGGTCCACAATTAAGGCGGCTACACATCTGTCAAAGTTGACTGTTCATTCTCTATCTAATCGCTACCGCTGGAAGGTTGTGGTTACTTCGGTAGCCGGATTTCGCTGGTATGTAATGTTATTTTATCGACTTGTTAAGTGATAGATCTTGGGCAGACCGCCCAGTGCAGTTGCAAACTACTGATTGTAAAATTGCCTAGAAAAACACTGAATCAGCACCCCCAAAAAAATTATAAGACCGGTTCTTCAGTGTCCAGTGAAGGATAGGCAAAAAAACCTTTGTCAAGCGATAGACCTGGCTGTTTCTGTTTATACATGTGTGACTGCTAGTGAAGACAACGGGCAGGGTTCAGCCCTTATTATGGCCAGATTATTGACCCTCTTGAGCAGCTGTGAAGTGGTAAACATCGGTATCAGATACTTCTAAGAATATTATGTGAACTATCTTAGGAGATAAGGCAGCTGGGAGAGCAACGTAAAACTATGGATCCTTTTGTATTCTAGATGTGAGTTGATATGAAGAATGTTTCCATTCTAAAGTAGCTCTGAATTTATGAGCTTTAGAGAAATGGTAACTGTTAACCCGACATTTATGTATAACAATTGAATTTTTGACCTAGTTTTGTTTTGTAATAGCGTCGAGGCTTGCAGTGTGTCTGTTGTTTCGGTCAGACTATGAGACCATTATCATAAACTCTCGTGGCTACGTATCTACAGCGTGCTTCTTCATGATGACTAACACACTATCACTACTGGACTAGACATCAGCGGCGTCAATTTCTCAGACTTCAAACGTTATCAGACATCATTATCACCGACCTGTCTATAGAAGGCCGAATGGTTTGGAGCTGTTAAGTCCCCCTCTGGCTCGGACACCAGGACACATTGTGACAGACATAAGTTAACGTTACAGGAGACACATTCACAGACAAAAGTTAACGTTACAGAGACCACATTCACAGACATAAGTTAACGTTACAAGAGACACATTCACAGACATAAGTTAACGTTACAAGAGACACATTCACAGACATAAGTTAACGTTACAAGAGACACATTCACAGACATAAGTTAACGTTACAAGAGACACATTCACAGACATAAGTTAACGTTACAAGAGACACATTCACAGACATAAGTTAACGTTACAGACAAAGAGACACATTCACAGACATAAGTTAACGTTACAAGAGACACATTCACAGACATAAGTTAACGTTACAAGAGACACATTCACAGACATAAGTTAAGTTACAAGAGACGACATAAGTTACGTTACAAGACACATTCACAGACATAAGTTAACGTTACAAGAGACACATTCACAGACATAAGTTAACGTTACAAGAGACACATTCACAGACATAAGTTAACGTTACAAGAGACACATTCACAGACATAAGTTAACGTTACAAGAGACACATTCACAGACATAAGTTAACGTTACAGAGACACATTCACAGACATAAGTTAACGTTACAAGAGACACATTCACAGACATAAGTTAACGTTACAAGAGACACATTCACAGACATAAGTTAACGTTACGAGAGACACATTCACAGACATAAGTTAACGTTACAAGAGACACATTCACAGACATAAGTTAACGTTACAAGAGACACACACAGACATCACAGACATAAGTTAACGTTACGAGAGACACATTCACAGACATAAGTTAACGTTACAAGAGACACATTCACAGACATAAGTTAACGTTACGAGAGACACATTCACAGACATAAGTTAACGTTACGAGAGACACATTCACAGACATAAGTTAACGTTACGAGAGACACATTCACAGACATAAGTTAACGTTACAAGAGACACATTCACAGACATAAGTTAACGTTACAAGAGACACATTCACAGACATAAGTTAACGTTACAAGAGACACATTCACAGACATAAGTTAACGTTACAAGAGACACATTCACAGACATAAGTTAACGTTACAAGAGACACATTCACAGACATAAGTTAACGTTACAAGAGACACATTCACAGACATAAGTTAACGTTACAAGAGACACATTCACAGACATAAGTTAACGTTACAAGTTCAACATAAGTTACGTTACAAGAGAAACATTCACAGACATAAGTTAACGTTACAAGAGACACATTCACAGACATAAGTTAACGTTACGAGAGACACATTCACAGACATAAGTTAACGTGACAGGAGACACATTCACAGACATAAGTTAACGTTACAAGAGACACATTCACAGACATAAGTTAACGTTACAAGAGACACATTCACAGACATAAGTTAACGTTACAAGAGACACATTCACAGACATAAGTTAACGTTACAAGAGACACATTCACAGACATAAGTTAACGTTACAAGAGACACATTCACAGACACATTCACAGACATAAGTTAACGTTACGAGAGACACATTCACAGACATAAGTTAACGTTACAAGAGACACATTCACAGACATAAGTTAACGTTACAAGAGACACATTCACAGACATAAGTTAACGTTACGAGAGACACATTCACAGACATAAGTTAACGTGACAAGAAACACATTTACGGATGCAACGACAATATTGACCAAGGTTTTCCTCGGCGAACTAGAAATCTTTCCCTTGTTAAAAAATTTTTTTAATTGTCTGAAACGTTTCTGTGTATCTGTGAATGTGTTTCCTTTCATGGAGCTACCTAGCTCTAGCTTTCATGTTCACTGGATTGTGTCGTCTTCGTTAACCCGACTAGTACTAGTCAATGGTGTATAACGACGTGGATGCTTATGCTCTAGACCCGTTTGCCTTTCAGGCTCAGAATTTGAAAAGGCATCTGCTGTGAGCCTTGGGGTGTTCTCCGTATCTGCTTGTGTTCATGGCATGAGCGGCAGAGCTCAAGCCGTAATTATTTTCCCGGCATTCTTGTTTTACAGGGACAGACCAGCGGTGATATAACCAGGTTTTTCAAAGGAGATGGGTAAGTTTTATTTTCCCAGCATGGTTGTTGATCTTATCAAGGCGATACTATTTTCACAGCTTGCTATTCTTTTCTAAGAGCCCAGGTGGCAAACTAGTTAATGTGCTTGCCTGCTGAAACAATGGTCAAAGTTCAGACACCATAAGAGTTCTTCCTACCAGTGGTGGCTTTGGGTCCATGTCAAGCTTATAAAGAATTCACATCGTATAAGTTTGTGAATGTTCTGGGAATTGTCTGGAAGATATTTCCAGCGATGAATTGAACTGGCCATCCCACTTCATGTGACATGGCATAGAACAAGTGAAGGAGAATAGTTCACACACAGTGGCAGTATCTCCTATAAGACTGACTTGTGGTTCCATCTGGGCATTTGGTTCAAATCTGGTTCTTTTTCGTATTTTTTAGTCATGGGGCGTTTGTAGTCATATTGTAGTACTTTTAATAAACTCTGACGCAGATAATCCTCTATGTCATGATGACAGACTCTTCAGCATCTTCTCTCTCGTTCTCTCTCTCTCTCTCTCTCTCTCTCTCTCTCTCTCTCTATCTATCTATCTATCTATCTATCTATCTATCTATCTATCTATTTATCTATCTCTCTCTCTCTGTTCTTTTTCTCCAGCTTTCCAACTGGTACTATATACTCCAGCTGTCACCTTTTCATTCAAGACATCCTCATTACTCTTTTTATCTGTCCGGGTGCCTGGCTTCTAGCGTAGTTGGCTTAACCGGATTGCGCGGTGACCGGGTGACGAACTCCTTGTGGCCCGGGTTCACTCCCGAGGTAGGCAGAAAAGCCACATTTCTCCCAGATTTACGGCATTTACAATGGAATCAAGGGCGACAGGTTGCGATATCCATAATACCGAGCCTAAGGGTTAACAACTCGTGGCTTCTGGATACTAAAACAAACAAACAATCTGTCCGGGTTATTCTCATAATTCGTCTATAAATCACACCTCCGCAGCTTTCAAATAATGTTTCATTAATCTGCCAACTGTCCAAGATTCACTTCTGAAATCTGGTTACAGGCAATCAGATGCCGTCTGCACAGTGAAGGTTGACTGCAATGTATCTCCAACACGAGCTGTTTCTTGTCCTGTTTGTACAATCTCGAAGACTCCGTCCATCTCTTTATATTGTCCTCCCGCTTGTATCCATGTGTATCTCTGTAGCGGTCCCACTTTTTTAAACAGTGAAACAGCGAAATGCACTAGTCACACTGAAATGTAGATACAAACCTGTGTCGGAACACTACCAAAGTAGACCTATCACAGACTGGTCCCCATGTGCTGCGCCGAATCATGGCCTAGTTTACATGCTAAATGATCTTCATAGGTGCTTTCTCTCTCCCTCACCCTCTCTCCGCCTGTCTTTCGCTCTCTCTCTCTCTCTCTTTCTCTCCCTCTCTCTCTCTCTCTCCCTCTCTCTCTCCCCCACTACCCAGTATCTTAGCCTGGACAGTACAAGGTCTCCATGAGGATGTAATTTGGAATGGGATGTGGAGAAAAGTCTACGCAAGTATCACCCCTAAACTGGCTAACTAAACACGTGACCTGGATGACAACGCATCAAACATAAACTTTATCACAAACCAGACAACCATTTATGCCAATATCTGGATAATTGTTCCCACTGGATGAATTCTATGACTGTTTAGATTGTAAAGAAGCCCCGTCATCGTAAATCATTACCAACATTAAATGTTCCACTGTAATCCCATAAACGTACGAGAAGACACATGACAACATACACGATATCACACATACATGCACACATAGTTGCAAAAAGAGGGGGAGACGAAAGAAAACTGCCAGAATCATTACCTTGTATTTCTGACTGTGTAGCTTGTCTAAGATGTATGTTCATCATTCAGTCTGTCTTTGAACGCGTCTGTCATTTCTTCACATACTTTGTTTAACCTTTTTTTTTTTAAATTCATTTTGTCAATCCTTACATATATGTCTTCATCTGTTCACGCGGCAGCCCTCTCGCTTGTGCAGCCATCCATCATTTACCCGTGGTCTGTGTCGGATATTCAAGACAACCCCATTCCATCTCGTCTTTATAATACCTATTATACCAATATTGATTGATTGATTATTTTATTCGTTTACTTAAAACTCAATAGTCACCAAACAATACGTGTCCTACTTTTAATAGCAGTGATTAAAATAATTTAATTATGATGAGAAATTAACAATAGTGCAATCGTGAAATGTTTTTACATCTGCCACGACATTAACAATGCTCAGAGATTTATTAAATACACTCCATAATTCTAAGAATGCATACTGTTTTTCCAGACAATTTGCAATGGGTTCAGAAATTGTTATTCTGCTGTTTTTCTATTGGGAGAAATTATGCACACGAAACTAAACCACGCTCAACCAATTAAAAAATATGTGTCCAAAATAATGGTTTCCTGTTGTATATTTAAATAATATGGACACGTCAATGCGTTGCAAAATGTATAGCCTAGTATATTCAATGTAGTCGGCTCTGTGGCTAAGTCGATGCGAACAATTCGTAATGCCGGGGCACCGGGTTCGATTCCAGCTGCGGGCCATACGCCTTGCGTTGGATTCGACAGTGGTATCAGGGAGCCGACCGTCCAGTAAGCAATAGCAAACTACTGTACGTAAATTTGCCTAGTGAAATCACACAATAGCCAGGGGCTGTTGGGGTTGGTTCTGCAACGTCCTGTAAAGGAGACGCAACTAACTAATATTCAATGTATCTTGTCAGGTGCTTTACTACAGTTAGATTTCTGTTTGTTCGTCCATTACAATTGATGAGGACAACTCTTTCTTTGATCCGTGACGAAAAAGTGACTGGGGCAATGAATTGGATTAAAGTGAGGAAAAGTTGCGCAATTGCGTCGACCTCACTCTCTCGCCTGTATCCATCTGAATCCAGTGGCAGGACAAGTGGAGACGGCTGGAGATGTCAGGTGCAGTGAATGACCAGGGTGTTCTACATGCCTCATCGTGCTCTTTGCGCTCCACAATGTGTTGCTGGTACGCGTAATCAGGTCCGTTGAAGCAAGTTTTGGCTTCCTCCGCACATTCAGCCGAGTCCAGTCTTTGCTTGCTAGGATAGGCAGATCCCAACTCACCCGAAGCTATTAGACCATTCGGCTACCCTCACATGGTTTAACTGGCCTGTCAAGGGTGGGGGGGGGGCGCTGACACAAGCTGACAGCTGCGTGGATCCACAGGTTAGAGCTGGATGCCAGATTTGGACCAAAGACAAGTAAGCTGTCCTGAGAAGGACATGACAAGCCACCAATATCAGAGGTGCTGCCAACACCTGGCAACCCGTAACCCCCGTAGATAAACATATAATGTAGCAGAAACAGAAATTATTTTCGCTGAAGTACATTTATCGTGTGGCAAGTACGTGAGACATTTATTGACTTTTGTGTGCTTTATTTACTGGACAATTAGGGGCATAGTATTGTGGTATTGTTGTATGCACGGTACACCGCTAACTGTTGTCTAACGATCTTCAGCTGCAATAACAACAACAAAACCGATGAGACAGATCTGGACTGCATTAGGATATGACAGTAATTAACAAATAATACATTCAGATGCGACTTAGATCATGCAAACACCATTACTGTGGTACCTCGGTAGACGAACTTAAGCTTTCATGATCATTAAACGTTTAGCAAACTGAATTTATACAAACCAATTTTCCGATTTAAAAAAAAAGAGAGAAAAAAAACAAAATCATAGCATCCAAAACACTATCAGCCGATGTCTCGATGGAAGAAGAATGGCAGCAACCAGGTCAGACTTGTTTACAGCCTCGCAACGCGACGGACCTAGCAAGCCGACAGTTGTGTCATTGATCGCTAGTACACAAGAAACATTGAATTTTTATCGGGAAAAAGCTGCATATGAGACTTTTTACAGCAGAGTATCTGCGACAAAGGTGAGGGGAAGACCAAGAAAGAGATGGATAAATGGTGCAGTTAAAACTTGCAAAAAGATGAACAAATCCATAACCCAAGCCACCCGAGAAGTGCAAGACAAATACAGAAAACCACGACACTGGGCTACAACCTGGTAACAGTGAGACGACACAAGAAAAAGAAGAAGAATATGTCCCGACCCTATGTCGTCTGCCTGGGAGAGGTACAGTTGATTACTAGAGCTCGATGATAATTCATTTCATTGCCCGTGTACAGAACAGTAGTTTTTTTTTTTTTTTAAGCTGTCCTTTGCGGCGCCCTGGGAAATCAAAAATAGCTGTCTGTCAGTGATACGCTATTGTGTATTGCAGTCGAGTCTGGATAAGTAGAAGTAGCAGGGACCTAAGAAAATGCTTCCACTTATGAGGATTTCTACTTATCCAGACAACACACAGAATGCCGGTACTAAGCTGGTCATGTCGACTAAACCGAAATTCGACTTATCCCAGTTCGACTTCAGTGGACTCGACTGTATTACTCTAAAACTGTGACGGGTCCAGCAAACCAACAGCGGTTATTTCAGTAATATTCGCAGGAAAATTCAGAGAGAGCGGCCATGAAATGAGAGGTCGGCCACGCAGAAGATTAACCGCTGCAATATCGGAGATTGAAAAGCATTATATTTATATCTTTCTTCTTTCTATCAGTGCCAATCAATAAATTTTCTGCTACATTAATAATATATACGAATCTAACAGAAGGGCCCGTTACCCGGAGATCTATCTCTTCAGGCACTCCAGGGATATAGAAAAGCAGGAGAGGCCGAATTCTAAAATTGTAGCTAAATTAGGTTATAAATACAGCATAAAGTTTGGCTAGAAAGCTCGACGAACGAAATAGAAAAAAAAGTGATTCGAACAGCATCTTTATCTGCAAACATAAAACTGACAGTTACTGTCTTTTTTACACCACTTTCGCAATGTAAGCGGCGGGGGGGGGGGAGGCGCCTGAGGATGTAAGGCCGCATGTCCAGTGTTGTCGCCACGGACTGTGCAGGTGAATATTTGATTTTTATTTA